AAATTTTAAAATAAAAAAATTTATAAAAATTTATTATAATCAAAGAAAGCGCTAAACCGACTAGATTATAATTATTTTTAGCACTATTAGTATTATCAAAGCTAAGCGCTAAACCACCAGGGTCATAAAGCCCTGGACATCCCTTATGAATTTCTGTTTTTACTATATCTTTATTTCTACAAGTACATGTACGAGGTATACAATCCTAGCCGACATCAATTACATATTACTAAGTAGAAAGCCGCTTGTTATGCAGAGCATCTCGGGCAAATTAAGTCGGTTTTGTCCCAGGATGCGACCCATACCAATCCACTAACACTCATTTTACTGATGGCCGAACATAGACAACCAATGTAACGAAACGCCTAATGTTTCTACCCTCGCCGGGAATCGAACCCAGACTTCACCGTGTGAAGTGAGAGCTTTAGCCACCCTGGTGGCTAAATCAGTTTTATGGAATTTAGAGACACATCAAAACAAAATAAATATGTGACACTGTTTGGGCTAAATCAAATACAAATGCACTTTAATAACATATTAGTGCTTAATTAAATTTCTGATGAATCAAAATGGATCAGTTCTTTATTAAAGGCACAAATACTAGCCTAGTTATCTTTATTTATATTTAAAGGGTTTAATTTAAGCGAGCAAACAATATATTGATTCTGTCATTTCTCCCACTACACAATAGGCCTCCAGAATCATTCCCACTTAACAAAAGGCCTCCAGAATCATTCCCACTAAACAAAAGGCCTCCAGAATCATTCCCACTAAACAAAAGGCCTCCAGAATCATTCCCACTAAACAAAAGGCCTCCAGAAATCCTTCCCGTCACACAATAGGCCTCCAGAATAATTCTCAATTCCCAATAGGCCTCCAGAATCATTTCCACCATACAAATGGCCTCCAGAATCATTTCCACCAAATAGGCCTGCAGAATCATTCCCACCACAATAGGCCTCTAGAATAATCCCCAACACATAATAGACCTAAGAATAATTTTCAGTATCCAACAGGCCTCCAGAATCATTTCCACCATACAAAGGGCCTCCAGAATCATTTCTACCACATAGAAGGCTCCAGAATAATTCCCATACTCAACAGGCCTCCAGAATCATTCCCACCATAATAGGCCTCCAGAATCCTTCCCACCACAATAGGCCTCCAGAATCATTCCCACCAAACACTACACCTGCAGAATCATTCCCACCAAACATTAGACCTGCAGAATCATTCCCACCAAACACTAGGCCTCCAGAATCATTCCCACCAAACACCAGGCCTCCAAAATCATTCCCACCAAATGCCAGGCCTCCAAAATCATTCCCACCAAACACTAGGCCTCCAAAATCATTCCCACCAAACACCAGGCCTCCAAAATCATTCCCACCAAACACTAGACCTGCAGAATCATTCCCACCAAATACTAGACCTCCAGAATCATTCCCACCAAACACTAGGCCACCAGAATCATTCCCACCAAACACCAGGCCTCCAAAATCATTCCCACCAAACATGAGGCCTCCAAAATCATTCCCACCAAACATTAGGCCTCCAAAATCATTCCCACCAAACATTAGGCTTCCAGAACCATTCCCACCAAACATTAGGCCTCCAGAATCATTCCCACCAAACACTAGGCCTCCAGAATCATTCCCACCAAACACTAGGCCTCCAGAATCATTCCCACCAAACATTAGGCCTCCAGAATCATTCCCACCACACTACAGGCTTCCAGAATCATTTGTCACAGTATCAGAGCACTAAACCCATATGGTTTAATGCTCCTGGGAAAATGGGACACAATCAAGTTCGATTCAAGAGGTCAGCCCAAGTACTTCAATCAAGCGCTCTTTGCCAGCATCAAGGAACCCCTTTGAGGAGGCCTCATTTTCACCACTGAAGCTGACAGTGTTTCTTTCGAAGAATATTAAAGAAGACACAAGAGTCAAGCTTCATGTTGTCACATACCACTATTCATTTTAATTAGGGGGAAGCACTAGATCCATAAGAGTCATATAGTGCCTGAGAAATGGGAGGCATTTAGATTTAATCCAAGGAAGTGGAAGAAAAGTTAAGTTCCTTGAATCAAGAACCTTTCACCAATATCAAGGAGCCTCCCCTACATACCACTGGTTCCCGGGGTAATGAAGTGTACGCACAAGCCCTTCAGAGAACCTGTGCCAATCTCTGGATTAGGTGGGGTTTGAATCCAAGGAGAGTCCTAAAACACACAGGGCAGTGCACTATAATGCAAACTAACACAAGAACTTTAAAGTAAAAAAACATGTTTGGTGAGCCCTCAGTTTAACCAACCCCAATTTAATGGACTTTGGAAATGCTGGACAAAATTAATTGGGTCAGTCAATTCAGAAACAATGGGCAAAGTCAGTTTTTTATAGTTTCTATTATTGTTACATTCAAGGCAAAATAATCTTATCTCTGTCCACCACAGTCACCATTACCACTGGCCAGTTGCTTCTCCCCATTAGTCCATTAACCCTTAAATGGTCCAAATGTATATATACGTTTTTTCAACATCTGAAAGTATGTAAAAAAATATAGATCTTCTTTTTTGTTTTGCATTTGAAAACGTGCAAAAAAAACTTTTACCTACATTTTTTTTTTTGTTATATTTGAAAATATGTAAAAAAAAGTAGATCTACTTTTGTAGCACTACGAATTTGAACGTCGATCTGTTTGGACCGTTTAAGGGTTAAATCAAGGGTTTACTATTAACAAAAAACTAAATATGAACAAGTAAATTATAATTCCACACTATTTTCAGCTACCAAAAAACAAAACCTCAAAATAAGATGAAAACTCTAAAGATAGTTGCAGTACAACCATATTCAGAATTTAATCCAAGCCAATGGCTGCAGTTAATGGTGGCATCAAAGGCAAAGGGACATGGGAGGAAACAGTGGCGATGTCAAAAGCAAAATCAGTGATACCATTTGGCACTGGAGGCATCTGCGGCATCAGAATCTGCAGCATAGGTATCGGCTGCGATGTCAAAAACCCTACATATCACACTCAAACCTATAAATTATTTCAAGTCATAGGGACAAGCCAGAGAAAATTTTGACAAAATGGATATTACCTCACTAGTCACACACACAAAAAAAAAAAATGGAGAGAAAAAACTGGATTCTTAACCAGCCAAAGCCACCTACATTCTGCCGGTGTAGTAAGATGATCCAGCGTCGACGGGGAAACTCTAAACTGGGGGAAAAAAGGGGAAGACAGATCTCTGTGTATAAGAAACAAATATCCAGTCAGTCAGGGAGAGTGCATATTATTTTAAACAAAATCTTTTCAGTTTTAGTCCTGAACCTTAATATATGAAAATAAGGATAAACAAGCAAACAAACTTAACAAGGAACAATTTATTTTGCAGATTCTTACAGATTGTACTCTGCTCCATTAAATCAAAATCTATTTCCAAGTCATTGCTATTTTGTACAGACTTCAGGATACAAAGTCAGAATCATATAAAAATAACTATTAAAACCAATAAATAATAAAAGTCCTATTCAATTTTCCTAAGACTACTAGGAATGGACTTTTGTATTTGTGTACATATTGTACAGTAATTAATATCTTTTTTTTTTAGTTACTTTTCAAGCATACTCTGCAGCAGTAATACACACTGCTTACAAGTGACAGACAGACAACCAGTAGAAGTTTGATCTTGTGAACCAGATCTTGTAGCACACAGGCACAACAAAGTCATAAATATTCAAACATATTTTCCTATACTGTACATGACTTAGAAATGGAACATACACTGAAGTATATATTTGTGGACCCTTCCCATTACTTGCTTTTTGTCGTTAATACTCAATAAACAAGCTGTAATATACAGTCACTTCATCAATATGACTTACTATATAGTTACAGGAAAATTCATTAGCTCACTGACATTACAGATGTATAAAATAGGCATTATATTTGAGTGAACAATTTTCATTACTGATTAATGGGCATGCAGAAACACCTAATGATTTCAACTGCATGTATAAACTAATTGTATAAACAATAATAATTTGGCAATATAAGGTACCCTGTAGTACATTAGAGGTGCTACGGGCACACACTGTACATACTCGTCGGTCATGTAGTCACTGCCTTACTTAAACTTGAGCGGTTTTAATCTTTGCACTACTCAAGGCATCACTTAGTGGACTTCGAAAACTAAAAATGGCAACTAAAATATTAAAGCAAAAGGCAAACACAAATGACGAAAGTAACGACCTTCCCATAGCAGGGACTGTGGGCAATCTGACTCATGTGAGGCAAGCTGTTACTGAGGAAAGAAATGGCAACAATTAAAACACAGCGAGCTAAACAAGAGTAAAAAAGATTCTAGGGGCACAGAAGCTATCGGCAAAATGGCATAAAAGCTCAGTAAGTGATGCAAAACAGTTCAGTTAAGATATATATTGTAATTAAGTAAATACTCTGCTCACATGAGTTTTACAGGTTGCACCGCAAATCCTAATAGAACTATTATTTAAATGATTTGCACAAAATGATTCCTTCTAAGTTTGAATTACATTTACATATTATAATAAAATTTTATGAATTTCTTGCAATGTATCTGTCACTGTTTATTAATACAATAGCAAAAATTATTGTGTTTTTAACAAGAATTTCAGTAAATGAAAAGTTGCTTAAATTTTTTATATAAAAATGCAAAGGCTTAAACCAAATCAAATATAGGCCAATACATAATTGAATTTTTAAGAATTAATACCAAGAACGACACCATAAAAATTACAACTGTAGCATTTTCATTTGAGGTCCTATAGTTGGGGTCTTGCAAAGTTCAGTTTACTACTAAACTGTAATATAAAATTAAATTTATTTAGTGTAACATTTGCTGAAATTGCTAGTTCACAACTAACCCACAAATTGGAAAATGGAAACTAGATGATGACGACAATGTTTCGGTTTGTCCCGGATCATTTTTAGTCAATGCCCAGGATATGCACAAAGCTAAAAAAATGTTCATAAATAATTTATAAAATGATACCAAAATTGGCTTTAAGTAGCTATTTAAATTTTCACATACTGTACAGTAGCAAAATGTTAATTTATCTAATGAAATGTCATAGTAACTTTTCTCACAATCCACAAAACTAACCTAATTATTTACACATCATTTATACCAGAAACTATCATTAACTACTGTGTATATATATACCTGTATATATATATATATACATATATATCAATTGATTTTTATCAAATTCCTATTTAAATAATATATATATTTAAGCATTCAAAAGAAAATAATCTGGACACCCAAGTACATTGGTTTTTCTTAAATTATTATACATTCACAAAATGTACATATGAAAGTGAGAGTGTGTGAGTGTAGTCAAGTTATGTGTAGTCAGAGTGAAAACTTTAGAAAACATGAAGATGAACAGCCAAGATAGTTAACAAAGGCAATGGTTAACAAAGACAATAGCAAACAGTCACGAGCTATGAAAGAACATAATCAATGAAGACAAAGTAACCATGTTTTTTTTCATATGTTCTCTCAGAAATACAGTATATTGAGAACAGAGAGAGATAAACATGAAATGAGTGAGATGACAAAATGCTTAGATGATTCCAACAATAAAAGACAAGTAGCAAGACAGAGAAAAACTGACAAGCATGATGAGGATATGAACAAGCAACACTGGTCAAGTATAAGGATGAATTACAACAAAAAGGCAAGTACATACCAAAACAGTAAGGCTACATTCAAAGACCTATTAAAGGAGGAAAGTATATATGTGAAGGACTATATGGTAACTACTAACAGGGTAAATGACACAAGAAGTAAGGCTAAAATTAATTCTTTTCTATGCATCAGATTATTTATTCGGGCAAATTTCTAGAAATTTTACAGTACTGTATATACAAATATTGTATAAATGAAGTACGTATCTCAAAAATTCTAAGAAGTAATGGACATAAATAAGAAATATGACATGGTGAATCTAGACAAAACCAAGCTAGAAAACCTTAAGACATATTTAAGAAATGAGGAGGATTGTAAATATTAGTAAAAGAAACTACAGCAGTGAATTAAAAAAAGAAATGGTGATGGAAATCCAAAACAAAAATATAAAACTCTTTTTAATAGTAAATGCATATTAAAAATATTAAAAATATGAAGAAGAAAATGGGCAAGATAAATGAATGATTTTATAATATATTAAGGAAACTATTTATGAGTCACAGTACACTTACTATTATCAAATTGAAGTAGACTACTGGAATGGGATTCAAAACATAATAAATACTAAAAACAATGGAATATTCAAGAAATTACTGCATATGACATATTAAACAAAGAACACAGGACAACAAAAACATAGGTCTAGTCCTGTAACTTTAAACTGGTAAATAAAACTACTGTACAGTATGTATTTACACACTCATTTTATGATTTAATAAGAACAATGAAAAATAATTTAAGAAAAATAAGTATACTTGGGTGTGTACTCGCCTACTGTAATTGTACTTGCCTAGTTGTGTTTGCAGGGGTCGATTCATAATTCTTGGCCGTGCCTCTTAAATTCTATCAAGTGTATTCACCGATTTCTTGACCTCCAGGGCCCAATCATACCTACTCTTGAAACTGTATATGGTGCTTGTCTCTACCATAATGAGGATGAAAATGTATTGTACTTATTAAAGACACTGAGGCTTATCTTTGTCTTAGTTGGCATCTTCATTCCTTGGCTGTATCTCTTCGCATCTCAGACATCCTTTCCATATCCACACCAAGTGCCCTGGATACTTGTTGTCAAGAGCATGTTCTCCTGGTACTCTTTTCTAGGACCACTGGATTTAGTCCCTCTTTGTAGTCCATTACCCTCAGTTTTAGCACTACTCTCATTGCAGACTTTTGGTGCTTGATCAGATGCACCCTCCATGCCTTCACTGCACACTTTAAAAGACAGGCCTTATATACGAAGTATACTGTCCAAAATAATTCTGTCAAGGGTCCTTAAAAAAAGAATAAGTTCCTAGGTTAGCTAATTTTGCATGATTGATATGTACTTCTGGTGATATGCTTAGTGTAATGCTTATTCCCAGATCTTTCTCCTTGTACAGTGTTTGTAATATCTCTCTTCCAGGTCATATTCCATATCTGGCTTTCCTCTCTTCCTCATTTTCATTATCTTGCATTTGTCAGGAGTGAATTCTTTAGCCTTTCCCAAACATACTTCCAGGTTGTGTAAGTAATCTTTAAATAATTCCCTATCCTTTCTGGGTGCTACCTTTCTCAATTAATCTTCGATTATCAGGAAACAAATATAGCATATATGTTGTATTCAGTTTCCACCAGCAGGGTTTCAACCACTGATCCTTTGAGTATTCCACTAGTTACCTTTGCCCCCAATGATACCTACTCTGTTTTTTATTCTGCAGATATTTCTGTATTCACTTTAGCATTTTTCCCATTACTCTCTCCTGCTTTTCCAATTCTTGTATCAGCCTCAAGTGTGGTATTGCATCAAATACTTTCACACAGTCTCTGAATATGTTGTCACTTTCTTCCTGTCTTTCCTACTTCTTTCCATTATTCTGTATTAGAAGCAAGAGATTCGAAAGACAGAATTTACAATCTCTAATCCCTTGCAGATGCTCTAACATTCTTTTATATTACTTTTTCTGTAATCATAGCCAGTATACCAGTCAGTGAAAGTTATCTACTTTTTCCATTTTCCTTTTTTTGTGTATATTAAGATCACATTAGCAGCTTTTTCACTTTCCATTTACTTGTTTAAAACTTCAAATGGGATTGCACAGTTCCTGCGCTTTTTCTCACAATTGGTAATTCTGATCCTGCTGCTTTCATAGTGCAGCCTCTCCTCACTTAATGATGGAGTTCCATTCCTAAAACAACAATGGTAAACAAATTCAGCGCTAAGTGAGGAGCATACTCCAATGGTAGTGGGCTTGTATCATCTATCTTTGATATTATTTTAATGTCACCTTTGCACCATTTATAACATTTCTGGTATATTTTTAAATGTTTATACAGTAGTATACTGAATAATATAATAAAGAATAGAAGAAATCAGCTCTAATATACATCATATAGGTATGCATACTGGTCAGAGAGCCCATCGTAAGTCCAAGGCGTTGGCAAACGAGTAAGGAGAGGCTGTACTGTACATATTTGACTTTCTTATCAACTTTCCAATTTCTTCCTATATTGTTCTATTTTTGAATAGTCTTTGTAGACTCTCCCTTTCTGTCCCTCTTTGGGTGTCCCCGACTCCTTGGCAGACCAACCGGTACTTGAATCTTCTCTTCAGTTCTGCAATTAGTGTACTTACTTGCCTCCACTGTCTGTTTACTTTCCTCCTCATCCAGTGTTATTACTGGTCTCTTTGCTATCATCTTCCATCTTATATGGCTGTGGATCATCTTTGGTTCTGTTATGGCCTTATCTATAATATTTTCCTGCTTCCCTTCTAATCCTTACATAGCTTTTCCCAGCTCTCTGTTTAGTTTTTCATTATGTGCATCTTCCATGCCCTTTTACTTTTAGGCTCACTAAACTGTTTTTAAACATAGGTTCTCTTGCTTTGTATTCTCCTTCTCCTTGCTGATATAAATTTTACTGCAGCTAACTTGCACATCTTCAGTAACCTCACCACCACCTTATGTACTGCCTTACCTTCCAATTCTCATTCCCACTATACTCCATTCACAACTCTCTCATCCCTGTGGTCACTGGCTTGTAGAAGTTCCTCATAAATTTTCTTTACTTCCACTTTCCTTAGAGGGAAGTCTGAGTCAAGTCTTGCTATTTGTCCATTTGTAGCATCCTTGTGATATCTTTAACAATGTTGGCTCATGAAACTTTCCAATTTCTGTTTCTGACTGTTTATGTCATCCCAATTCTCCCAATTTCATTGTGAATCTAATAACTCATGATAAGAAATTTTGCCTTCGTTCTATATACTCTTTGTACCACTCTTCCCAGTATTTGTATCACTGCCTCTCAATTTTGACAGCCACATGAGATGTCTTTGTAGCGCTGTATCAGTTTTTACATCCCTGTATTAAATTTGCACTGTTATTGAATGATTCATTCCTCTTCTTCATCACTCCTCTGGTGAAATAATTTCTGACAGCCCCACTGCTCATTTGTGTGTGTAATTTTCAACCATGCCCTCAGACTCCTGTGCCATTGCTGGTAAAGTGCCTATTTTTGTTTACCATCTATAACCCAGAATATCTTTTATTCCATGTATGTGTGTGTATTCTACTTATGGTTGCAGAGGTCGGAGTATCATCCCCTGACCCATGTGTGTACAAGTGTATACACAAGTGTAATTATTTTTTTGTGTATGTGGGTAATTCTAAAGTGGGATAAAGAAGTGGCCATATAAATACTGTGATATGATAAAGGTGAGCCTTGCACGATAAGGTCATCTGCTTCGTAAAGGTACTGAGACACTTCACCAAAATTATTTTCTTTTGCTTGACATATTTTCCAAAAGTCATAAATTTGTCAATTTTACAAATACTTACCTGTATATATATACTGTATAAAGCAAATGATGAGACATTGCAGTACTTCATATGTTAGTGTTACATAATTTATATTAACAGTCATTATAACAAGATACAATAAACAGTTTTGGTTGCAAATTAACATTCTAAACTTAGTCTTCATAATTGCTCTGTGAGGCTTAGATGCTGTACATACTGCTATCAGTACATTAAAAAATAATGTCTAAAACAGTCATCCAAATATTGAAAATATTTATATTTACAAAGTAAAAATTGTTTATCTATTAAAATCTAAAAAAGAAGTTCATTCATATCATCTCAGCCTTGAAATTAACTAACTACAGATAAAAAAAAACAATATCCAAAATATTAGTGTAAAAAATTACCCTGACTACGAATCTGATTAATTTTACATCTCCTTTTATTATATAAGCACTTAAAAAGTCACCGTCTTTACTGTCAAGTTGGAACTATACAAATTGACCCGTTCATGCCTTCAGGAGCTCAGTAAAAATGAAACAAGGGTGCTTACACTTATTATGTTGATCAAGGAACACGGTGCTCTGATGGGTTCTTTTGAGCATGATGACTTGAGAGATCTTTCTAATATACATACAGTGGACCCATTACTGTGCAGTCAAATATCAAAAGATCTGTATACAAGCCTTCCTAAGTTATCTTAACTGTGACTTGAGTCTTCTGAAATGAAAAAAAAAGTCTCCCTAACATCTTTGAAAGACTAACTAACAAACAGTCACCTGTGTTATTAGCATGATATCAGTAATTTGAAGCCTTACACAGCTTGCTTAGAATCTTTCCCTTAGTCTCTGAGAAACATTTCTATAACACTAGAGTAAGGCTTGAAATCAACACTCGCAAATCAAACTAACTTAATTAAAACATCACAAAATATTTTAATTCCATTTTCTAGCTAACCCGATTCGTACAGTTCCGCATAGGAAAGTGATATCCAGGAATTTCAAAGGAAATGTTTGTCACTGCCCAAGTACACACAATCTGGAAGAAAACAGACAAAATTGTTTTTAATAATTATACATTTTACTACATTTTTCAAATATTCTTCATTAGATGTTTAATACAAAACAAACATTTACATAAACAAGATATTCTATATAGAGCCTAGTTGACCAGGCAAGCACCTCAGAACTCATCATAGGTATATCAAAAGTAAAAGCACTATAAATATATCTGGCTTGTTAAGACATACTGTAACATACAGTACTAAGACGTTTCACGTATATAAGGCCTGTATGTGTATTTTTACCACTTGTCAGCTATGCCATACTTCAATTACAATGTCTGGTGTGCACTGAGCACCACTACCTCTTAACTACAGAGCTAGCTTCACTTTAAGCTCTTGATTCTACAGTATGCCATAGTACTGTACTTGTGTGTGTAAATCTAATGCCACAATCATCTGACACAATATTACTGGCCAGCAGTTTTGAAGTGAATAATGCATGAAACTAACCAAATCACTAAGTAGGGTAGTTTACGCATTTTTTTTTTTATTACACACAATTAATAATTCACCCTGCCTCGGTGGGAGACGGCCAGCTTGTTAAAAAAATAAATAAATAATAATCTCCATGGGGAAGTGGAACAGAATTCTTCCTCTGTAAGCCATGCATGTTGTAAGAGGCGACTAAAATGCCAGGAGCAAGGGGTTAGTACCCCCCCTTCTGTATATATTACTAAATGTAAAAGGAGAAAATTTTGTTTTTCCTTTTGGGCCACCCCCGCCTCAGTGGAATACGGCCAGTGCGTTGAAAGAAAGAAGGAATTAATAAAAAATTGTTTATTGATCCATAAATGTACTTACAGGGAAAAAAATGTATTAGGAAAGTTCAGACTAGACAAATGCAATGACTGCCTTCCTAATTGCTCAAAAAGATATTTTAAATACTGCTCTTGTCTTACCAAACAGGAGCAACACGTCATTATGATACGATACCTGCTACCTGGAGGAGGTACCTTATCATAAACGTATCATAAACTTACCTGGAAAACTATGCCGGTGAAGATTCCAGTAATGAGGGATGCAGCTCCCATCATGCCTGCAACAGGAGCATGTTCGGGCTGCACAGTCCTAAAATTTACAGAAACAAAAACTTATGGAATTTTGATGAAAATTACATTGTTAAAAGTGCAATTTTTTTATGATAATCAACAACTATTCTAATAACTAAGTAATTTTTTTTTTTTTTTCAACAAGTCGGTTGTCTCCCACCGAGGCAGGGTGACCCAAAAAAAGAAAGAAAATCCCCAAAAAGAAAATACTTTCATCATCATTCAACACTTTCACCACACTCACACATTATCACTGCTTTTGCAGAGGTGCTCAGAATACAACAGCTTAGAAGCATATATGTATAAAGATACACAACACATCCCTCCAAACTGTCAATATCCCAAACCCCTCCTTTAAAGTGCAGGCATTGTACTTCCCATTTCCAGGACTCAAGTCCGACTATATGAAAATAATATATATACATATATATATACATATATATACATATATTTCATGACTGTTACATCAGGTCACAAATTTTATAACTTTTGAATACAGACATATTGATAACTTTGACTTGTTTAAAACTGTGCAACTGTTAACTTTATTCAAGCTTTCACCATGGGCACAGACTAAAAAGAAATTTAATATTATGTGCCATAAAGTATGAAAGAATCAGCATAGCACCAATTTAGGAGCAAAATGTTGGTAGTCCACACTGTAGATTTTCATAATTTGCTCACTGGGCTATGATCAATGTACCCAGCCCCTGCCTCCTACTGTTCCTGCTAAGCTAGATTTAGCAAGTCATATTCACTAGACAGTAGTTTCCTTACATTACTAATGTTTTCCAAAATTTATATAACTATGAAAAATTGCAAAGGTTAGTGGATGAGTTTGGGAGTGTGTGTAAAGGTAGAAAGTTGAAAGTGAACAAAGAAAAGAGTAAGGTGATGAGGGTATCAAATGATTTAGATAAAGAAAAATTGGATATCAAAATGGGAAGGAGGAGTATGGAAGAAGTGAATGTTTTCAGATACTTGGGAGTTGACGTGTTGGCGGGTGGATTTATGAAGGATGAGGTTAATCATAGAATTGATGAGGGAAAAAAGGTGAGTGGTGCGTTGAGGTATATGTGGAGTCAAAAAACATTATCTATGGAGGCAAAGAAGGGAATGTATAAAAGTATAGTAGTACCAACACTCTTATATGGGTGTGAAGCTTGGGTTGTGAATGCAGCAGCGAGGAGGCAGTTGGAGGCAGTGGAGATGTCCTGTCTAAAGGCAATGTGTGGTGTAAATATTATACAGAAAAGGTTGGAAGGAAGGGGTAAGGGAGGTTTTGTGGGCGAGAGGCTTGGACTTCCAGCAGGCGTGCAGGAGCGTGTTTGATGGGAGTGAATGGTATTTGGGACCTGATGATCTGTTGGAGTGTGAGCAGGGTAATATTTAGTGAAGGGATTCAGGGAAACCGGTTATTTTTATATAGCCAGATTTGAGTCCTGGGAATGGGAAGTACAATGCCTGCACTCTAACGGAGGGGTTTTGGGATATTAAGCAGTTTGGAGGGATATGTTGTGTATCTTTATACGTATATGCTTCTAAACTGTTGTGTTCTGAGCACCTCTGCAAAAACAATGATTATGTGTGAGTGAGGTGAAAGTGTTGAATGATGATGAAAGTATTTTCTTTTTGGGGATTTTCTTTCTTTTTGGGTCACCCTGCCTTGGTCGGAGACGGCCGACTTGTTGAAAAAAAAAAATTAAATTTATTTAAAACACTGGCATTAAATGTTTAAAGAATACTCAATACATCAATATAAAGAATTCTCAATACTTCAGTAGAAGACAACAACGACTTTATTTCGATTATTAAACTGAAAGGTTAGTAAACAAGTATCATATATTATCAAAAATACATTGTAATTACGCATCAGCATTTTTTCAAACAGTGGTGTAACCACTCTAGGTATACTATTTCTAAAACGAATATGTTGGCAATTGATAAAAATGTGTAAATAAGTGTTTAAATACAAAGATGCAGTTGAGGTACAGCAAACATCTATTTGGTTGGTACAATTTGGTAAGTTAATGTGGCTTTTATTGTAACAAAGTTTACATGTATAAGTGTATCTCAGAAAATAAACCTCACCATATCCAACTTGGACCAACAGACCCACATTAACCTCCTCACAACTACCAAATGTTTCAAGTAATAATTAACAGAATGTAAGATAAACTGTAGTACTTTTCACATAGTGGAACATAGAAAATAAAAAAGAAATAAAAAATGACAAATTTGGAGGCATTTGGAATGTAATCTTATACGTATTCCCCATAAGTTCTTCATATCATTTAATGCTACTTTTAGAGCTAATACCAATATTTGGCAAGGTAATGCTTGCATTAATCAACAATTTACTTGATATACAATGAAAAACAATAGATACATACCTTGGGCAGTACATCATTGCCAAGGAAGAGTAGTAACCTGAGGTTATGCCCAAAATGGCAGTCAATACCCAGTATGCCCAATCTGAGTCTATAAGGACTGGCATAATCCTGTCCACATTAACTGGATAAAAGTGGCACAATACAAATGCTGGGATAAGGAAGAGTCTCAGAAGTACAGGAATACAGAGGAATCTTGGGCTAGGCTGAAAGAGTGAGGAAATTTTTTTTTTCAAATTTACAGAAAATACAAACACAGGTAGAAAAATACTATACAGTAAATGTTTATATATTAAAACATTCTCCATCCAAGGGACTTAGCAAATGTATGCAACACCATTTAAATTTCTTAACTTACTTGGTCATATCTAGAAAATTTATTTTTACATGTCAAAATATACTGTAAAGTGGTACATTGACTTACGAGTACCCTAATTTACGAGTTTTCCGAGTTACGAGCCGTCGCTTGGTTGATTTTTTGTTTTGAGTTGTGAGCCAAAATCTGAGTCATGAGTGAGCTTCAGATACTCCGCCACTGGTTGGCGGTGTATCTGAGGCCAAATCCAACTCTGTACCCAGAGGAATGTCAGGTACTTCGTCCCGTCCCACATGCTCTTCCAAAACATAACTGGAAGAGTAATACTCCCACACTAATCCCAGACTGCAGTGAGGCACTTCGTCCCTTGTTTGGTTCTCGTATAAATCCAGGGAGGAGGTAACCTCTATTTCAACTCTCAGAGGTTTTTCCAGAAACATTAAGGTGGGTGGAGTACTTACAGTGGTTGGTGGAGTAGTCATGGTGATCAGTGGAGTGGTCATGGTGGTGGGTGGAGTAGTAATAGTGGTGGGTGGAGTAGTGATGGTGGTAGGTAGAGTAGTGATAGTGGTGGGTGGAGTTGTCATGGTGGTGGGTGGAGTAGTAATGGTGGTGGATGGAGTAGTGATTATGGTGGGTGGAGTAGTGAGGGTGGTGGGTGTAGTAGAGATGGTAGTGGGCGGAATATACAATATTTCTTATTTATAAATACATTTTTCTTATTTAAAAACCCATACCCCAAAAAATTGGGGTGGTTTTTTGGGGGCTAGAACGGATTAATGGCATTTCAATTAATTTCAATGAGGAAAATTGATTTGATATACTACAAGAAAATTGAGTTACGAGCTTGGTCACGGAACGAATTAAACTCGTAAGTCAAGGTACCACTGTAATACAGTTGTAGTACAATATTTAGTTTCATAATACTAAAGAATTGTTTATAACTGCAATACAACGATGATACAGATGTTGCGTAACGCAACAAATGCGACTAGCCAAAACAAATTTCCCCTGCTGTTTCGCTCACCCTACCACCCCCAAGCCAATGCATAGCCTCTAACAGCTACCACATGTAAATAAAAACATTTATAATTTTGGACACTAGTGACTGGAAGTTTTCATAGCATAGTATTGCTTCCAAAATTACAAACAGATCTCTCTAGTAATTCACAGAGCACAGTATTCTCAACTTTCATACTGAATTTGAACCTTAAAAATTTAATTTTGATTTTAGTTTTTATCAACAAACCGGCCATCTCCCACTGAGGCAGGGTGGCCCAAAAGAGAAGAAACACTTTCACCATTATTCATGCTATCACTATCTTGCCAAAGTGGCACTGATGATTCAGTTCAAAACTGCAAATATCCCCACTCCTTTTGAAATCTATCCATTTATTCAAATACAATACAAATACAAATTTTTATTTCTTTGCAAAAGTCACAATGTGTTATTTACATTTTATAAATTGTTGTTAAGCACAAACAAAGCCACTAGCATGCCTGAGCATCTTACGTCACAAGAAACCTAGAGAGAATTCCTTCCTACAGGAGCCAGATAATTTGCCCACCATCTAAATAATGTGAAAAAAAAAAAAAGATACTTGACTTACCCAGGTAAAGAGTCCTGGAAGCATATTTCCAAGCATGGCAAAGATATTGAATGTAAGGAAGCAGGTTATAGCCTGGAAATATTTTGGTGGCACTGGGAAGTTTTCTTCAGTTCTACAAGTATCTGGAAAGGAAGTAAAATGGAGAAGATTAATATTTTTACAAGTGACTAAACCACTCAGTGCTGTGCCATTTTCCAACTAATTCTAATATTTTTATTTACGTATTCATTAAACACACTTTGATAAGAGTAAAATAATAATGATTAGATTACAAAAAAAAAAAAAAAAAATACAGAATAAAATGCAGGATTACAAAGGAAGAGTTTTGCAATGTGTTTTATTGTGTACTGTACAGTACAGTGGACCCCCGGTTAACGATTTTAATCCGTGCAAGAGGGCTCATCGTTATGCGAAATAATCGTTATGCGAATGAATTTTCCCCATAAGAAATAATGGAAATCAAATTAATCCGTGCAAGACGCCCAAAAGTATGAAAAAAATTTTTTTTTACCACATGAAATGTTAATTTTAATACACACAAACTGAAAAAGGCATGCACAATTAAATGACACTTACTTTTATTGAAGATCTGGTGATGATTGATGGGATGGGAGGAGGGGAGAGCATTATCTTCTTACTGTTTAGAAGGGGAATCCCCTTCCATTACGACTTGAGGTAGCAAGTCCTTTTCCGGGGTTACTTCCCTTCTTCTTTTAATGCCACTAGGACCAGCTTGAGAGTCACTGGACCTCTGTCGCACAACAAATCTGTCCATAGAGCTCTGTACCTCCCGTTCCTTTACGATTTGTCTAAAATGGGCCACAACATTGTCATTGAAATAGTCACCAGCACGGCTTGCAACAGCTGTGTCAGGGTGATTTTCATCTATAAAGGTTTGCAGTTCAACCCACTGTGCACACATTTCCTTAATCTTTGAAGTAGGCACAATGGATTCCACAACTGGCATAGGCTTCTCAGGGTTAGCCCCAAACCCTTCAAAATCTTTCTTAATTTCCATACTAATTCTCACCCTTTTTACCACAGGGTTGGCACTAGAAGCTTTCTTGGGGCCCATGGTCACTTATTTTCCAGAAACAGCACCGAAAACACTGTAATAATACGAAATATTCCGAGTGTATGCTTGGATGTTACCGCGGAGGCTGGCTGGTAAACAATGGGACGGCCGGCACATGTGAGGCTGGCTGAGGGCACATTGGACGCGTCTCGGACGAAAATCGGTAAGCGGGTTTTTAATCGGTATGCGCGGCAAAAATTTTGCGATAAAAGTAATCGGTATGCGGAAAAATCGCTATGTGATGCCATCGTTATGCGGGGGTCCACTGTATATGAAAATGGTATTAAACAGTTTATTATAAAAATCAGAAGCAGATAACACAAACAATTGTACTACAGCAGATGCTGGGAAAGAAAGGAACAACATATACATATGTAATCAATGCCTCACGTGCCCTAACTCATGAGCTAAGCAAATTTAGAATATGCAGTGGCAGTGTATAGTCTGCATCAACAGAAATATGATGAAGATAGAGTAGGATATGATGCAAAATGACTCCCAGAGTTTAATAGAAGACAAATGAGGAGCTATGATAACCATGTATAAGATCAAAAGAGAGAGATCAAGCACTCTTAGTACCATCAAAGGAGAGAACAAGAAGCCACAATTATGAACAGAGAAGAAAGTTTTCCCTCAGTGTTGGAATACTGGAATGTGAACCAAGAAGAGGTAGTAAATGCTACAACCACTAGAAAATTGAACACTACAGTTTTCACAAATAGTTGATAAATTAGACACATGTGCAACACCTGGGTATCTTTACTGTGGAAATGTTTCACCACACAGTGGCTTTCATCAGTAAATTACAAAGAAGAATGGTGAAGACCAGAAGGAGTTTGAGGGAACGATTACCTCAAACTCCTTTTGATCTTCACCATTCTTCTTTGTATTGGACTGGTGAAGCCACTGTGTGGCAAAATGCTTCCACAGTAAAGATACCCAAGTGCTGCATGTGTCAATTTATCAACTTGTCAGTTGTCTGTACGTATTGACACTTCACAAGTAGTGTTCACAAATAAGTATTAAGACAGTCTATACATCAATACAACATACCTGCAATTACAGCTGGGAAGACAGCAAGTGTGACAAAAAAGACCATGAAAACATTGAAAAGCTGAGGTGATGCTTTTCTGAAGATTTGCCAATAAGGTACTTTGGGTTTGCTGGGATCTCTCTTTGCCGCTTTTTGGGCTCTTTCATAGAGTGCCTCATGATACCTGAAAAAGCGCTGCAGAAGGAAATTTACTTTTAGTCAAACACTGTAAAGTTTACAAAATTTGTCAATGTAGTACTTACAATATCAAACACAGTATTCATTATCTCATTGCTTGTACATACTGCCAATACTTCAAAGATATTATTAGGTAATATTCAATACTAAATAAAACAAGAATGTTGTATAGGTTAAGATTTCTTCTGTGCATACATTATGACTATGAGATGTCATGTTCTGCTTAAACAATAAAATGGAGAATTAGACATATACAACATCTGGATATCTTTAATTTGTAGATGTTTTACCATTCCCACATGTTGCACGTGTCTAATTCTTCATCATGTTGGTATCATATACCATTCACATACGACATAAACAATAAGTTCTGGTAAAAATGGTATGTGATACCAACAGGTTGTTGGAAAAGACACAAAATGCCAACATTTTACTGGTGCTGAAAAGTTTCCAATGAAATGTCCTAGTGTTTACATTTTATGTATTTTTCCACCAATAAGAGTTCTGTCAATAAGACAAAGTAATGTGGAAGACTATGGGGTATAATAAACAGTTCTAGTTCTTTTTTTACTTTAAACACATCACCCATTTCCCACCAAGGAAGGGTGACCAGAAAAAGAAAAATCACTTTCATCATCACTCGCTCCCTCACTGTCAATATCTACTTCCCACCTCCAGGATTCAAATCTGGCTAACCACTTTCCCCAAATCCCTTCTAGTTTATATTTTTTTTTTTTCAACAAGTCGGCCATCTCCCACCGAGGCAGGGTGGCCCAAAAAGAAAGAAAATCCCCAAAAAGAAAATACTTTCATCATCATTCAACACTTTCACCTCACTCACACATAATCACTGTTTTTGCAGAGGTATTCAGAATACAACAGTTTAGAAGCATATACATATAAAGATACACAACATATCCCTCCAAACTGCTAATATCCCAAAACCCCTCCTTTAGAGTGCAGGCACTGTACTTCCCATTTCCAGGACTCAAGTCCGGCTATATAAAAATAACCGGTTTCCCTGAATCCCTTCACTAAATATTACCCTGCTCACACTCCAACAGACTGTAACGTCCCAAATACCATTCGTCTCCATTCACTCCTATCAAACACTCTATAAAAAAAAAAAACAGTCCTGGTTCATGTATAGGTTATGTCATTAAAAAACAGGGAATGAATTTACTAGCCAAATTATACAATAGTTAGCATGTTGTGATACTCACATTAAGAGGTAGAGCAAAGTAAGTGTCAAAGCATGCTAGGAGCACAAACAGTGCTGTGATGAAATAATAGATGGCTGAGGTTCTGATGTTTGGTGCCATGGCTATAGCAATAATATTAATCACAGCAGTAAATGTTCCACTGATGTTCTGAAATGTATGACAATGAGTCAGAATTCATGATGCACGAGTTCACACATGCATGCAAAAATACAAAAAAAATTAAGTGCATACTAACACCCCAGTAGTACACTAAAACTATACATGTATTTGAAGTTTTAAATATATATACTTCTCAACAAACTAGTCATATCCCACCGAGGCAGGGTGACCTAAAAAGAACAATAAAAGATTCTTCTTTTAAATTTAGTAATTTACAGAGGAGATGGGATTACTAGCCCCTTGCTCTTGGCATTTTTATCACCTCTTACAACACACACAACTTAAAGAAGAAAGAAGTACACATATATGACTTCCCTTTTTGACTACAGGATACTACAATGAGTTCCTATAAAGTGGTAGTGAATTTCTGTAAAGTGGTAAAAGTATGAATAAAAATACAAGTTCCTCTTGCATTATGCTAGTTTGTTTTACGTGAATATGCTGTTTTGTGATGATCAATTTGTATCAGTAATTCTGTATGTGCAATAACACATTCAATGTATGGGATCAGTATTTGCAAAAACGTATTAAACAGTCTAAATATATAGATCTGAATGCTGAGGGCTTGATTGATCTTAGTACAGCTGCCATGATCTGAAACACATGTACTCTATAAAGCAAGGTACACCTGCATGATGTAAATGCAAGAGAAATATTTCTCATTTAAATCTTGAAGACCTTATACTAAGAATAGCCCAGAATATACTTAGAATTTGAGTGGTAGCAGCATACCATTATTCATATTTGTATTTAGTCTAGTTAAAAGTCAATATGGATATTTAAACATGTCACAAAGTATACACAGCATAAACTACAAACTAAAAATTTTGAAAATAGGTTTGATGGAAGATACAAATTTTATAAAGGATATGAAAGCAGGTTAGAGAAGATTTTATGAAACAAACAACAGAAAAAGTTGCCACAATTCTGAATTGTGAAAAGAATATGCCTCTTTGTTACAATTCCTGCAAATTTCATAAATTACATAGCAAAACCAAAATGTGAAAATGTGAATATCCACAAAATGTTTTAATTTTCAAATTTGTAAAGATAATCTAAATGTTTTATCAACTTACGGAGCCTAGAACCACAGCGCCCGTGTATGAGAAGGGAAGCCTTGCTGCCATGCCATATACTGTATTTTGGTAGATGCCATTAGCAACTGTGGAGAAATTTATTTGTATTAGAATCTTACTTAGAATACATTTATCTACTCTATATTCTTATTAGTCTCGCTTAAGCATTATCTTCATACCTGTATTTGTACCATTTTCATAAAGACTAAAACTCATACAAAGTACACCTCAAAAGTATATCATACATTAAAATGATTATTTAACTCTCAGAGCTCATAATAAATGCAATATAAGCCAATGTAAGTAAACAGCATCAATATATATGAAAACCTAGGCCAAAGTAAGTCATTTTTATACACTCAGAGACAAAGACATGGGAAAAATCAGTATAACTCAAGCAATTAACAGATTTATTTTAGTTAACATCATTAGGCACATAGATACCTTTTATTCAACATTTAAATACATCCAGCAGGTACTGGAGTTTCATATACTCAGAGCCAGAAAGCTTTCTTAGACAGGATATAACATTCCAGCACATGACTGGGGTTTTCCAAAATATCTTTTCTTGGCTGTGATGCACAACCGTTGGGTAACAAACAAGTACCATATTGGAAATAATGGGGGAAATACTGAAGGAAATATTGATCCTTTTTACGACCCCACTGGTTTATGTCTGGAGAATGCAGTATTCAAGTGATGCTGAGCTAACTCCCCCACCCCCAATCCTGCTTCAAATCCTTGTTTGTCATATCATCTTCCCAGCATATATCGGTAAGGACACAATGGAGTTATTTGCAGCTGATGTTCTAATGTTTAAATTAAATTTGTTGTATTACCCTCTAATGTTTAACGGTATTTCACTGTTATAAACCAGTGTCTATGCACGTCTAAACCTTGATTAGGTTGTGGTTTGAGTCTGCCATCTTTGACACCATTACATCCCAGACCAGATCTGTATTATTTGAGAATACAAGGTCAAGTTTATTCCCTAGTCTGGTTACTTCCACTACCTGCTGGTTTAAGGTAAAGTTCTGCAGAATCCTAATAATTCAATAATGTGAGACTGTTCATGACACATAAATAAGTAAATAAATAACTACTGTTACTGAATAAATAAATAAACAAACAATTAATTAACTGTAATAAAGTTGGTAGAATTACCGACAATATGTAAAGTAAAAGGACACAAGTGCAACTAATGTGACATTTTATTGTGGTAACGTTTCGCTCTCCAAGAGCTTTGTCAAGCCATTACAAACAATACATGGACACAGAGGGTATATAAAGGCTCAGAGTGAGGTGCAATACTAGTGAGGTACCATTTCGATGTTCACTAGTGGTAGTAGTAGTAGTAGTAGTAGTAGTGACAAAAGTAATACAATATGGTAGAGCAATTAATTCGTACATGAGTAAAAGGATATAAAAGCTATTACTTGGGTAACATAAAAATAGGTTGGACAAATATAGACTGAGGCAGGTAGTTTCAGTGTTCACTCTCTGTAATGTGCTTTGTTGATAAAATTTATCAACATGTCGGTTCTCTGAACCATTCATCTACAAATGTGCTTTGTGTAGTATAACAGGAGAGACTATGTGATGGCAGGGTTTACTGTTTTCAGGAGGATTCTTGCCATCACATAGTCTCTCCTGTTATACTACACAAAGCACATTACAGAGAGTGAACACTGAAACTGCCTGCCTCTTTCCAGTCTATATTTGTCCAACTTATTTTTATGTTACCCAAGTAATAGCTTTTATATCCTTTTACTCATGTACGAATTAATTGCTCTACCATATTGTATTACTTTTGTCACTACTACTACTACTACTACCACTAGTGAACATCGAAATGGTACCTCACTAGTATTGCACCTCACTCAGAGCCTTTATATACCCTCTGTGTCCATGTATTGTTTGTAATGGCTTGATAAAGCTCCTGGAGAGCGAAACGTTGCCACAATAAAATGTCACATTAGTTGCACTTGTGTCCTTTTACTTTAATTAATTAACTAAATAACAGTAGTGAAAAGTAAATAAAGTTTATCTTATCAGTAAATGTACAGTATTGTACAGTACAAATGTGCATCATTTTTGTACCATCATAAATTCGAAATATTGTAAGTCGAACCATCATCAAATGAGTAGCATCTGTATTTGCCAAATTCCATCATGCCTTAAGTCACCAAGTAAAAGGATATTTGGAGCCAGGTACGATAGGTTTTCAAGAAAGCACTCGATTTTCAATAGATAGTCTCTGATCTGCTGGGAAGTAATACATGGTGATTTATATACAGGCATAACAACTAGATCCCAATTTTCAATGTGTTGCATTTAAATTATGATAAATAAGACATTTCAATAACTACTTTCCAGTATTCCTGCTATTAAAAATGTATTATACAATTACAAACTCTTCATTGACAAATTAATGTTAGTAGAGCTAATGCAAACTTACTATTAAGGATGACAACTGAAGAAATAGTTATCCAGAAGAAGACACCCGGCCAATCCGTCGAGTCAATCATGGCTAAGATCACAGTGAACACGAACACGACCACTTCAATCAAGATACTCCATACAATTCTCGTTGTTAAGTTGCCTCTGCAATATTGGAGAAATGATTGGTTAACTTTTCAATCAGAAAACCTATAGTTTATTAATTAACTGTGCATACTCTATAATGATAAATAATAAAAGTTTCAGTAAGATATTCACTTAAAAATAAAAATTATATAACCTCATGTAGCTATTAATAATAACTGTTGAAATTAACTATTTGAATAGTTTTATAACTAGACAACAGGACATTGTAAAACTAAATTCAGCTAATGCAGAGGTTCTAGCAAGCAAGAATTGGAAACTTTAGTTAGACAATATTTTGCCTGTGCAGCTGGTCTTGTCAAAGATAATAGATCAAACTGGTGGTAGGACAATAAAGCACAATATAGTTAGGTGTAATTAATACAAGAATATGCAAATATTAGAGAGAAGCACTGTAGTAGGCCTGCCCAATAAAGGGCAGGCCCATAAATTTATTGGCATACTGTGTGGTGAGACTGATGTTAGTACTGTAGTAGTAATAGTAGTAGTACTTGGTAGTTTTTGGCAGTAAACTCGCTTTGATATATGTACTGTTAATGGTTTTATGAATTGGAAGCTACCCTGGTCCTATCTGATTCTTTGATGTCAAGATGAAAGAAATTTCATTGCATTTCTTTGTGTATTTTTCCCTTTTTTTTATTACGAGTTTTGAATCAGAATGTCATTAGATGGTTAGGTATGTAGATTCCTATGATGGACACATGCACTGTTCCTATTATGTTGAAAGCAGGTGGAGATAATGTATGGAATGTCTGAGATTCCATATATATACCATGTAAGAAAGAAGGGTTGGCAAGAGCATGTTTGACTTCTCTATACACAGGGAAGGACGTAACTGAAAGCAAGAATTATAAGGGAGCAAGAATTTTAAATCATATATGTGGCATAATTGTGACTGGTAGTAATTTATAAAAAACAAAGTTAATTGCAAAAAAAAAAAAAAGTTGAGATAGGGAAGATGAAATAAGTGAGCAATACCTCAATAAAGGAAAAAAAGCTTTGCCGCATTCATGGATTTGGAAAAGTTACATGAATGAGCTGAACAGGGTGAAATATGGCTATGGTTGCCAATACATATATGAAATAGTGATTTGTTAAGAGTCCAGTAACAGTGAGACTGACACACGAATGTATAGTATCTCTATGACAATTTACAGTTTATTGACGAGGTACAAAAAATTTGGAATAATATGTGAAGGAAGTTTTTTTTTTTGTTACTGTATTGGGTAGTATTGTACTTTACTGAGGAAGCTACTTAGCTTAATTATCTTTCCCAGTTTATATATTATCTTACTGGATTGAGCTTGATTACCTACCATTGCTAATGTTCCATGTGACTTACTATTTTAACACCTCGCTTCCATTACGACAATAACGATAATTACATAAGAGGCGGAGATATCATTTCAAAATGTCTCTACACTACTATGTGAATGAAAAACAGCAGACACAGGCTTAAAATAATTAGACATTTAGGTAATAAATAAATATAAACTAAGGTTAATACATACCCAAACTGGATAAAGATGTTGAGCCAGTTGAAGAGTACATTTGGTATTTGAGATGCATAGCCTATATAAGGCAGAAAATTGGTTACGTACGTTGACACTTCATCGTCACTTGTTTGAAGTTTGTAGTCCACAAAATACTGAAAAAAATGATGAATAATGGCTATTAATACATTGTACAATACAAAATAGTGTACATAATGCAAGTTATACATCTGCAAAACAGATATTTACAGACAAAGTGGCACAATCATGGGGGATCTACTGGAAATAAGGTTCTGCAGATGCAATTTTTTCTTATCAATGGCTAATTTTCAATGTCACACTGACCAGTGACCACAATAGCACAATAGTTTAAGAACTTTTTTTTTACACAGGCTCAGCTTATTTCAAAAGGTATATTACCAACCCTCAGGATGCAGCTCACAACAGCTGACTAACATCCAGGTACCTACTTACTCCTAGGTGGACAGAGCCAGCAAGTGTTTCCACTCTTGCCAGGGATTGAACCCCGCACACTCAAGTGTGTAGCTGAGTGCGCCCAGCCACGGGTCACCTCACACGCATACTTAAAATAATATATTTTTAAACACGATTTCTCTTGATTTTTTCAGCACTCTAGATTGAAAGACTGGCTTTGCTACTGCATAGACCCTACTAACAAACCCCGACTGAAACACTGTGAGGGGTACAAACTGAACACTCGTAAAAACTTCCGCTTCACAGACTTGCAAAAGTTACTGTAAATTTTCTCACTAAAAGGTGCTATCCAGTTTCCATCCTCAAAGCAGCCACATGACGTGCTTTACCTTCAAGGGGAAAGGGGAGCCAGTGAAATTCAAGCTACCCTCCCCTTCCTTTGATTAAACTTATACAGGAGGTTTATTATCCTTACTGGTTTATTTCTTTACAGTAAATGTAACAATGCTTGACATTTTTGCCACGTTAGTACTAGTTTCAGGGTTGATATTCACAATGCATAAAGTGAATCATTATACAATATAAGTGAATCATTATATAATAAACTGCACACTACATAACATTTTAAGAAAAAGGGAAAGGGAGGTAGGATAGACAGATGAAGGCAGATGGTGACAGGGAGACAGAGGGAGAGAGACAGATGCAGATACACACACACACCAGTGAAGAGGCAGGACAGGGGCTATGAATCAACCCCTGTAACCACAATTAGGTGAGTGCACACATACAGGATCACAGTTGGAAATTGAAGACTCAGATGAATCACAGGGATGTTAGGAAGTATTTCTTTAGTCACAAACTTGTTGGGAAGTGGAATAATCTGGGAAGTGATGTAGTGGAAGCACGATCCATACATAGCTTTAAGAAGAGGTATGATAAAGCTCATGGAGCAGGAAGAGTGACCTAGTAGCGGCCAGCGAAGAGGCGGGGCCAGGAGCTGTGAATCGACCCATGCAACCACAACTAGGTGAGTACACACACACACACACACCATGTTAAGTCAACACAAAGTCACTTACATTTTACACAAAGTCACTTACATTTTTAGCTGTGATGAACATGTTCCATGGCATGAGGGTGCCCACACCGTGCAGCACCAGCGTCAGGAACACCAGCTTGTACCTTCAAATAAATAACCAACATTAGTACAAACCTTCACATCAAAATAAAGCAAACATCACAAGCCAAAAAATTAAATTCCATCAAATGCCATTTCGAAAATGGCATTTACAGATTAACATTGAGAAAGTTAATGGGTTCAGAAGACACATTTACACTCACGATTTACTTGATTTCAGTTCTGCATTTTAACCTTTTTTATTAAAATTATGTTGTTTACACTAATTATCTCAAAAGTTACAAGACTTGTCAAAGATCTCAAAAAAAAAAAAAACAATAATCTACAAAGAAACAAGTTTGTGAAGCTTTGCAAGCTCGAGAATGATTGTATATTGTGGGAGTTACTGGTCCACTTGGCAAGGTTCAAGGACGAGGAGCACACCACTAGTATAGAGGACACCTTTAATATAAAGGTCATCTCTAGTATAGAGCCTTAGATACTTCAGGTGGTCTAGTAGTCTTGTATACCTCAGGATGTCTGGTACAGAGCCTTATACACCTCAGATGGTCTAGTATAGAGCCTTATATATCTCAGGTGATCTAGTACAGAGCTTTATATACCTCAGGTGGTCTAGCACAGAGCCTTATATACCTCACGTGGTCTAATACAGAGCCTTATATACCTCACATGGCCTAGCAGAGCCTTATATACCTCAGGTGGTCTAGTAGAGCCTTATATATCTTAGGTGGTCTAGTGGAGCCTTATATACCTCAGGTGGTCTAGTAGAGCCTTATATACCTCAGGTGGTCTAGTAGAGCCTTATATACCTCAGGTGGTCTAGTAGAGCCTTATATACCTCAGGTGGTCTAGTGGAGCCTTATATACCTCAGGTGGTCTAGTAGAGCCTTATATACCTCAGGTGGTCTAGTAGAGCCTTATATACCTCAGGTGGTCTAGTAGAGCCTTATATACCTCAGGTGGTCTAGTAGAGCCTTATATACCTCAGGTGGTCTAGTAGAGCCTTATATTGCCGGGCCACCACTTAGAAGGGCCCGGGCCGGGAGAATACCGGCGAATCTTTAACAACAGTAGAGCCTTATATACCTCAGGTGGTCTAGTAGAGCCTTATATACCTCAGGTGGTCTACCTGGAGGTTACCTGGAGGTTATTCCGGGGATCAACGCCCCCGCGGCCCGGTCCATGACCAGGCCTCCCGATGGATCAGGGCCTCATCAACTAGGCTGTTACTGCTGGCCGCACGCAGTCCAACGTACGAGCCACAGCCTGGCTGATCCGGCACTGACTTTAGGTATCTGTCCAGCTCTCTCTTAAAGGCAGCCAGGGGCTTATTGGCAATTCCTCTAATGCTAGATGGGAGGCTGTTGAACAGTTTTGGGCCCCGGACACTTATGGTGTTTTCCCTTAGTGTACCAATGGCGCCCCTACTTTTTATTTGGGGCATTTTGCATCGCCTGCCCAGTCTTTTACTTTCGTAGGGAGTGATTTCTGTGTGCAGATTTGGGACCATTCCTTCCAAGATTTTCCAAGTGTAGATTATGATATATCTCTCCCTCCTGCGTTCCAACGAGTACAAGTCAAGTGCTTCCAAGCGTTCCCAGTAGTTAAGGTGCTTGACAGAACTTATACGTGCAGTAAAGGATCTCTGTACACTCTCTAGATCTGCGATTTCACCTGCTTTGAATGGAGATGTTAATGTACAGCAGTATTCCAGCCTAGAGAGAACAAGTGATTTGAAAAGGATCATCATTGGCTTGGCATCTCTCGTTTTGAAAGTTCTCATTATCCATCCTATCATTTTCTTTGCACGTGCGATCGTAGCACTGTTGTGATCCTTGAAAGTGAGATCCTCAGACATTACTACTCCCAGGTCCCTTACATTAGTTTTCCGCTCTATTGTATGGCCGGAGTCAGTAGTATACTCTGTTCTAGTTATTATCTCCTCCAGTTTTCCATAACGGAGTAGTTGGAATTTGTCCTCATTGAACATCATATTGTTTACCGTTGCCCACTGGAAAACTTTGTTTATATCTTCTTGGAGGTTAACCGCGTCCTCAGCAGATGACAGCCTCATGCAAATCCTAGTATCATCCGCAAAGGATGATACGGTGCTGTGATGTATATATCTGTATATCTAGTAGAGCCTTATATATCTCAGGTGGTCTAGTGGAGCCTTATATACCTCAGGTGGTCTAGTAGAGCCTTATATATCTCAGGTGGTCTAGTGGAGCCTTATATATCTCAGGTGGTCTAGTGGAGCCTTATATATCTCAGGTGGTCTAGTAGAGCCTTATATATCTCAGGTGGTCTAGTGGAGCCTTATATACCTCAGGTGGTCTAGTAGAGCCTTATATACCTCAGGTGGTCTAGTAGAGCCTTATATACCTCAGGTGGTCTAGTAGAGCCTTATATACATCAGGTGGTCTAGTGGAGCCTTATATACCTCAGGTGGTCTAGTAGAGCCTTATATACCTCAGGTGGTCTAGTAGAGCCTTATATTCCTCAGGTGGTCTAGTAAAGTCTTATATACCTCAGGTGGTCAAGTAAAGTCTTATATACCTCAGGTGGTCTAGTGGAGCCTTATATATCTCAGGTGGTCTAGTAGAGCCTTATATATCTCAGGTGGTCTAGTGGAGCCTTATATACCTCAGGTGGTCTAGTAGAGCCTTATATACCTCAGGTGGTCTAGTAGAGCCTTATATACCTCAGGTGGTCTAGTAGAGCCTTATATACATCAGGTGGTCTAGTGGAGCCTTATATACCTCAGGTGGTCTAGTAGAGCCTTATATACCTCAGGTGGTCTAGTAGAGCCTTATATTCCTCAGGTGGTCTAGTAAAGTCTTATATACCTCAGGTGGTCAAGTAAAGTCTTATATACCTCAGGTGGTCTAGTAAAGCCTTATATACCTCAGGTGGTCAAGTACAGACCTCATATACCTCAGCCGTTCGCTGAATCGTGGCGATTCAATGGATCGGAATGTGGAGCAAGTAACCTAGCCTCTGGAAACACCACACTGTTGTTTATATAGATAGTTCAGAGCTGCAAAAGCCTGCCTACATTACTACCATATAAAAACCCTTGAATAACCACAAGAGTTTACTTTTCTTCCAACAAAATTATACTGATAATCCCACCCAGAAGAAAAAATTGAACATAAAAGGTAGGGAGGAATATTTCTGAATGTGAATCGAGCTTCTGTGGCTAAGAAGTGTCGACAAATATGTGCCCATTTTTTCAATTAAATTTATAATGGAGGAAACATGACAGATAACTGTTTTTAATTCTTAAATGCTTGCTGAGGGACCCCAGCAAACCCTATTATTATTTATTATTATTATTATTATTATTATTATTATTATTATTATTATTCACAAATGAAGCAAACAAAGTTGATATAAAACTTACCTTAACACTAGTAGTAGATTCCTTCTGTTACTACAGCGAAGCAAGTTGACTCAGATAACAGACCTTATTACTAAGATAATCACTGTTTTCCTTCTAGTTTGTAAGTTTAAGATGAATTGTCAAATAATTGTTAGACTGCTGTAGATAAGGCATAGTGGACTATCACTGCCAGACAATCTCACATGGAAAAACCTTAACTTACCCGTCTGGAGTACGAGTGAAGGGCTCTTCATCTGAGGAATTGGAGTCAACTTCCCCTCTGAACCGAACATTATTATTTTCCATGCCCAAGGAGCTATATGACCCAGCACTCCCCATCAATATAATACTATACTTGTGGAAAACAAGTGGATCACTGAGCGTTAGTTTAAAATTTTAAACACGTGATCAAACACCAAGCTATATTAGAAAACGTTTAGAGTGATCAAAGTCCAACAACTGAAACGTTTTGTAATAAGTATGTCCTAGTTTTTGTCCACGAGTCTTTTTAAACTACTTTGTATCAATTACAAAGGTTTAAGTCTCATTGAGCGCTACTTACCGATCAGGAGGTCCGGTATCTTCCTCCGGCGTGGGTTGCAGAGGCGTGAGTACCGTTGGTTCCAAGGCTAGTTCATAGTCCTTGGAGTAGAGACTTGGGTCTTCCGGAGGCTCCCAGTTGGGGTCCTTAAGTGCGGGGTGCTTCTGGCGTGGCCTTGGGGACGGCGAGCCCCCAGGTGTGTTGACGCGAGAGAGATCTTCTACTGAGGCAAGTGGTGCCGTCAGGTAGTCAGATTCTCCGTACATGTTGATGGTGGCTGGCATGGTACTGCTGCTGTTGTTGCTGCTACTTCTGCTGCTGATGCTGATGCCACTGCTGCTGCTGCTGCCACTGCTCCTGCTAACACGTGAGCCGAGTACCTCCTGCCTTGCTCACAACGCCATCACGGGTAGTGAAAAAAAGAAGTACTCGATGTTCCGTCAACAGTGAGGCCAGGTCTGGGATCGGGCCGCAAGGGCGATGATCCCCGGAACCATCTACAGGTAACCTTCAGCTTTCCTCTTCCGTATTTCACTACTACATTCGTCAAACCTTCATAATTACTAACAGTTTCTACTATCACTCTCACACTTCATTACTTCTCGCTATTTTCGTTGTGTACGTCGGTGTAGCGATATTATCCACCGAATCTTTTTTTTCCCGAGCAACTGAAGTCGATTGAACTATGAAGGCAGGTTGGCAGTGGTAAGTTAGCGTGGAGGGTTCGTGTTGACTCACATGACGGCCGCTGCTAACTTTACACAGCTAAAGCAAACAAAGTAATGAGACACAGGTACCTTACAAAGCCATGTAATGTTCGTGTCTATATTTAAAGCGTACACTATCCAGTCAGTTCTCACGCCACACGTAGTAAACGTCGTAATTTTGACGATACATAAATTTTGTTTAATGCTTTCTTAAAATACACTTTTAGAGAACAATGCTGATTCAAAATTATGATAATTTGCGTGTTTTTACACAATATAACATCAATACTGCTGTCTAATGCCCATTGTAGCTATAATTTTCACGATATTATGCTCCCTTGAATTGTTCCACATAAGTTCAATGAATAGGCCTTGATGCTGATGAGGGGCACTTGATGCAAGGAATTGGAG